ATGATACGGCAATTCCTCCAAAAGAAACAAATAGAATATTCTTTTGATGCTGTTCGATTAAGTTTAGATTTAATTGGGCAAAGAATATATTTAATACATGTAGATTCTGGTCCTATTTTAATATTATCGCTGCTATTTTGCCGTTTAACGTCGCAGTTTATTGGCACAGGATTAAAGATTTAATATATAAAGCACGAATCCCAAAGTGTAAAACGAAGTGAACATATCATGCGGTTTATTTACATTTTTAAACAATTAAACTTCTATACTTTTTAAAGTACAATGTGCTTTTGAATTTTGCAATCAAACAACATTTAGGTTTGCAAAACATCTAAATTAGTATGAACTGTGTTGTTTATGCTCAGAGCCTTTATATTGAAGACTAGCATGTGCACAGCACGCCGGAGTAAACACCAGAACAGGCATCTTGTTTATGTTAAAATATAGTAAACTTGTAAACAGGGGAAGTATGTATTATACATTAAGTATTTCCTGGGTGATTTAAACAGATTTGGCAAATAAAAATTTTTGTTTCCAATGTCCTTTAATAACTTCTCATAAAGAATGTGGGAATTTTTTAGTGGTTGCTACTCCCACCCCCCTTGTAAATAAAATGTTTTACGGAATGAAAAAGAAAACACCAATTACCTGCAATGCTGGTGTTAAGGTGTATCGTAAATTTGAGGTGTATCGTTTTCATTACATGTCACGAGTTGCTAAAATATATATTTACAGTAGTGTATTTACTGTTTTTATATATCATTCTAATGTCAATAGCCCATCATACACCAGCTTTAACAAAATTTATCAATGGAAGCAAAAATGCCTGTTTCCCCTGTCACCACAAAATATTGTCATCAACTGTGGGAAATTAAAAAATTTGCATTGCTGCTTCTTTGGGACACTTGAAAACATTATATATTTTCTGAAATAAATTTTCGCAGGGTTGGGCATAAAAATTTTCTCAATTATCATTTCTATTAGTATAAGACTTGCAAATACGTAACCGATTAGTTTGATGCTGGCTGACTTGCCAACGAGGGTTGTACCCCCCCCCACCAGAGCATCAGACTCTAGTAGTGGTTATTTGCTTGACTGATTCATTCCCTTGTTGCCGAAGTATAAACAGTAATTGTAAAATGTAACAAAGAAATTTTGTCATATTTGGTTTAAACATATAAATTTTCCTCAGTGTTTTTAAGCCTATATTGAGAAAGAATACGTCATACTTATAAACAACCCCCCCCCACGATATATTGACGTCTTTTTGGCAGAAACATATATTTGACTTTTCATATTAAAAAGGTATGGCAAATAACTCCATCATGGTGATTTGTATATTTTTTATAAAATTCCCACTTGTTTCTTTTCTCCCATTTGTTCTATAAGGATAAGGAGGAGCGTCTGTCAATGTTTCAGCGAGCGTGCTCCTTCTAAATCCAGCCATGTTTCCCAATCATCATCATATAGTTGTAAAATAATTTTACCCGCAACTGCAAAATTGCTTTCACCTCACGCAACACACTTTCTAAATCTTTCCCACTATAACAACCGCCACCAGCACGCCTGGACGATGCTCAAGCTGAACTTGAGGTAATATATCTTTATTGTAAAGTCTGCTTCTATGTGAGTCTTGCTTGGCTATTCCTTCATGTTCAGTGTTTGAATGCTTAGCTGACGTTTTTATTCACTAATTACTGGGAGCATTTTTGCTATTGAGTTGTCAAGTTATGACACAGAATGAACCAGATTTCTCTAAGTTTTGTCACATTAACTAGACTGCCACGCGTTGTCAGCCATAATGTATTGTCGATTCTGTTTCAAAGATAGTTCGGTAGCGTTTCCTCTGCATGATAAAATTTTCACATATGGATGGTATTTAGTCCGGAATAAACACATCTTAATTTCGACTTCAAATGCGTGGATCGGATTGTATTGTTCTAATAATACATGTAGGCCTTTATCATAGTTAGGGTTGACGTGGGCATCTAGCAGTACAAAACTCATTAAATCTTCAATGCCTGTTTTCATATTGGGGCCGCATTAAATGCGATTAGACACTCGAGTTATACCTGTATCCAGTGCCAGTTTGCATCCCTTTGGGACCATTTAAGATGTTTATCGCCTGGTTTCCGATGCTTGCTTCAAGGAGAGGGCAAGTATATGGGTATTCAGGCATGTATCCAGGCATTCATGCATTAGTTTACTCATAGGGGTTGGCCTATGTTTCGGCTATTCGGCAAGTGGTGTCGAAGAGAGGTAGTAATAATAGTATCTTCTTATGCGAATGCATTATCCCACTGGCTTTGGGGATTAATTGTTTAATATATATGTCCCTGCTCTTCGACAGGTTGGTTCGAAGAGAGACAGAATTAAAATTATGGTTATGTGAATGCATTGTTGCATTGATTTTGGGGGACCAATTGTCTAATATGTCCCGGCTTTTCGATGGGTTGGTTCGAAAAGATATAGAATTACAATAATAGTTATGTGAGTGCATTCATTTTGGGGACTGATTGTCAATATGTCTCGACTCTTCAATGGGTTGGTTCGAAGAAAGATAGAACTACGATCAGAATTATGTAAATGCATTGTTGCATTGATTGTGAGGGACTAATTGTTTAATATGTCCCGGCTTTTCGATGGGTTGGTTTGAAAAGATATAGAATTACAATAATAGTTATGTGAGTGCATTCATTTTAGGGACTGACTGTCAATATATCCTGGCTCTTCGATGGGTTGGTTAGAAGTGTCGGAAAACGTAGGATTGATGCCGATACGCCTCCTAAATACTCACATTCACCATTTATTTTAACAATATATATTTAAGCAAAAAAAACGCTCTACACTCTGTGAAGTAACCGTAACCAGAAGTCCCTCACTTTTCTACGCCTGCGAACAGGTGTTTTTTTTTTTTGCGCTTAATATAACATGAAGTTTTTTACACACTCCCCCATATGAAACAGATTTGTTTCATATGTTCTAACTAAACTTAACGTTTTGTCAAAATTGTTAATAACGTTTTTCCAGATCATGTTCAGTACTCCTTTGAGTCATTTTCCAAGGTTTCTTGAATCCGCGTCGATAGCCGCTTTTCGTTTCGGAACAAACGATCTTGCATTTGCATTCAATGGAAGTTGGTTTGTCTTCTCCCCGTCCTCTTTGGCGGAGTCACAACTGAGTTCCAGCGGATACAAATGTTGTGGGGTTCGTTCTAATCGATCTCTACCACTTTTGATACGTATCGCACGAACTACACCATCTTTACCTTCGATCAACTTCTCCACGATTCCCAAGGGCCACTTGTTTCTGTTTCTATCTTCCGACTTGACTAACACAACGTCTCCGACTACGATGTTGTTATCCCTCGACTTGTGTTTTAAATTATGACATTCTCTCAGGGCACGCATATATTCGTTCGTCCACCTTTTCCACATTTCTTCTTTCGTGCGTTTCAAGAACTTCGATCGCTTTTTCAAACTAAAATCATCCTTTCAAATCCTTTCGAACACATTTCAGCCACTTGGAAGCCGCTATAAAGGTCGAGCCATTGTCCGAATAAATTGTAGTGGGTCTTCCTCTTCTGGCAATAAATTGCTTTAAGCTCTTTATGAATTCTTTGGTCTCGAGGCTCGGTAATAGATCTAGGAAGGCATGCATTAGACTACATGAGAAAAGAGCGACGTACGACTTAGCTTCTCTTTTCCTGAGGCGATATTTCACTGGGCCGGCGAAATCGACACCTATTACCGCGAAGGGTGTGGACTGCTCGGTTGTGCACTTCGGTAGTGGACCAGGAGGTGGTGTGTTGGCGGGTTGAGCTCGAAACCTTTTACATCCATAACAAGTTGAAATCACTTTCTTGGTTAGCTTTCTCAGTCTTGGAACCCAGTAGTTTTTGCGAACCTTTGCCATCACCATTCCTACGCCACCATGCAGTGTAGACAAGTGAGCTCGTTGTACAACCTTGGTAGCGAATAATGCACTGTCTGGTAAGAATATCGGGTATTCGCCTTGGATGCGGCCATGACATTCCAAAATGCCATTTTCGTTCCTCTCTAGTTGTAACTGGTCTTTGTCGTCTACGAACTTTAGATCATTCACTGCCCGTTGTTGAGTTTGATTCACACATAACATTTCGAGCTTCACTACTTCATCTGTAGTTATTGCACCGGTGATTTTCGTTGATGGATTTCGACAGTTGTTGATGAAGCGTATTACCCATCCTAAAATTCTCAACACTTTGCACAGATCGAACTTATTGAATACTGTCTCGAGAACATTATTTGTCTCGACACCAACCGCAGAAAGTTCCCGTACGACTCTTTTCTCGGCTTCGCTCATAACACAAGCTCTCGTCACAATGTTACTTTCGTTCGATAGCCAATCAGGACCGTGGAACCACAATTTCACTCCGTCCACACTACCCCCTCTACTCCCCAAATTGGTGGGGTTTTCTTCTGTGGGCACATGACGCCACAACACATTTTCATGGTTTCGCATTTTATTCACTCTATTAGCCACAAACTGACGATATTGTCCACCATCATTTAACCAATGGAGTGCCACGGTGCTGTCTAGCCAACATTGGATGTTTTCCGCCACGTTGAAACCTTCGAGAGCCTTTCTTACATTGACCGCTAAATTCACCGCCATATGCCCCGCCACCAGCTCGAACCTGGGAATAGTCAACATAGTTTTTGCAAGTCGAGATTTTGCAACCACCAAACCTTGCACCATCCCCGATTCTTGCTGGACAACGGCGTACACGGTTGCACATACGCCCTTTTTGCTCGCATCGCCGAACGAGTGTAATTGCACTTGTTAAATTGGCTCTCTATAAGTTGGAATACATCGTGGAAAGGTCAGACAACTTGGTAACTCACTTTCCCATTTCAACCACCGTTTACCGAGCTCCTCTGGAATAGATCCATCCCATCGAACCTTTTCTTCACATATTTCATGATATATGATCTTGCCCTCCAGCATCATAGGCGAGATTAAACCTAGGGGGTCGTAAACTTTTGCTAAGTACGCCAAAACTCCTCGCTTCGTTAACACCGCCGGTACAGCAGGGAAATCAACTTGCACGGTATCTTCGAGCTTGTTCCATTTTAGGCCCAATAGCTTGCACTCGTTTTCCTTTGGGTTGGCACTTAACTGTTGTTTAGCAAAGGTAACCGGATTGTCAATCATGTCCGACTCGAGTTCTGTGGCATTCGAATGCCACTTATGTAATCGTAATCTGGCTTCCTCGAAGACGCCGATGGCCTTCTGCTTAAGCTGGCTTGCTTCATCAATAGTAGGCGCTCCAGTGATTAAATCATCTACGTACAAACTTTTACGTATTTCAGCCACAGCCTCGGGGAAACGAGGCTCCATCAACTCTAAATGTCTCGCGATAACTCCATTTAGCAGGAAAGGTGACGAAGTTAGACCAAAGACAACTCGAGTAAAGCGGAGCACTTCGATTTCGGTGGAATGTAAATCTTTGATCCAATGGAACCGTAAAGCATCACGCTCAGTTTCCCGGACTCTAATTTGGAGAAAGGCTTTTTGCACGTCTCCAGCAACAGCCACAGGGTGGAATCGGTTTCTAACTATCACTGTCCACAGTTGATTGTGTAATGGCGGGCCAGTTACTAAACAATCATTTAAAGATGGCGCATCTTCTCGTTGGCGGGCGGATGCGTCGTAAACAATTCGGGTCTTCGTTGTTTCCGCGTTTTCTCGGACTACGGCGCGATGAGGGAGATAGAATTCTTTACCCGTGACTTCACTTGGGGCTTTCTCTACGATTCCTTGATCGATTTGCTCTCTGATCACCGCATCATACTCTTCAAGCATATCTGTACGTTTTAATTTCCGCAAGAGAGAATTGAGACGGCATATACTACCATCACGATTTGATAATAGAGGTTGATGACCAGGTTTCCATGGAAGTGAGGTTTTGTACCAACCCTCTTCGGATCTTGTCAGCTGCTCTTTAAATTCGTCAAATACATCGCTATCAGCACCAACATTGTCAGCCAAACCCAGCACGTCCAAAGCACATAAGTTATCATAATCTGAGATCGAATTCACAGCAAGACAGCCCAAAGTTTCCTTTCCATCATTACCAGGTGACATTAGAGACCATCCCAAACGAGTATGTTCCGCCACTGGATCTCCTGTTTGACCAACACGTAGGTTTTCATTAGTACGAATCTTCGCATACTCCTTTGCTCCAAGTATGATGTGAACAGGCAACATTTTCGTCGTAATCATCCATGTAGACGCCGTTCAGGCGAGGGTACTTTTTGAGGATTTCCTTGTAATGGGGGTTTTCTAAGCGAAGCAGCTCATCCTTTTTTATCTTAGTTATGCTCACGTCAAGGATGAAATCTTTGCTGAGGGATTCTATCTGGACATCGTAGACTTGCATCTTTCGGGTGGTCACTCCTGTCAACATTGCAATTTGTCTTATACCAGCGGACTTGCATTTGGCACCAATTAGCTGAATAGCAGTTGAGGACGCGTGTGAATGACTCACGCCGCTGTCCAACAATGCTCTGAATATGTACCCGTTGATGCGGACAACTACAACAGGGTGTACAACAGTGGAAGCACCAATGAAATTTGCGGTCATACCAGGCTCTCGAGATGAAGGACTCTTGTCACAGATTGATGTATGATGTTTACCCGCACATATCTGGCATTTATTCTTGCTCTTGCACTCTGAGGCATGGTGTTTTCCGCTAGCACAATTAAAGCACAGATGTTTTTCAGCCAGTATTTTCTTTCTTGCTCCAGGGTCAACAACTTTGTTACAACGGATGGCCTTATGACCCTCGTCCGAGCAGTACAAACAGCCCTTGTTGTTATTATCGTTAGTCTTGGAGAAATAAGATCTGTCTCTTTCCTTCTGATGTCTTGAACCGGCAGTTCCCTTAACTGGATTGTTTTTTGTCCAGAGTTCTAGGGCATGTACAAATTCCATAAAGGTCCACTCATTCCATTTCTCGTCAGTTATTGCAAGCTCAGATTTGATCACATCTAGCTTATGGAATGTAAATCGCACCGCAGCATCCAATTTCTCAAGGCTTTCGAGGGTCTGCAACGATTCAACATTAAACAACAGAGTCTTGTAAAAGGAGTGAATTTTAGGCACGTCTCTCTCTTTGATGGTAGGCAACTCAAGAATAGTTCGCACGTAAGCACTTACGACCTCGCTCGTCTGCCCATATCGTTTCTTCAACAGATTTTTAGCTTTAGCATACCCCTCACTAGTAAATGGCAGTCCATCGATAAGCTTTCGGACCTTTCCATCTACTAGTTCCTTCAAATAGGAAAACTTGGTCACATCATCTACAGCTGCTTTATCGATTTGCAATTCAAATACCCATCAAAATCGTACCCAATCTTGGGGTGTTCCCATGAATTTTGAAATAATCAACTTTGGCATTTTTGCTGCAGTAGGCACTTGTACAGCTGACGCATTCGTTTGTTGCGAAGTTGATTGTAATTCTTTAAGTTTCTGTTGGTGTTCCCAATCTAATTTCCGTTTCTCGTCATCGGCTTGTTTCTCTTGTCTTAACTTCTGTTCATTTAAGCGTTTGTGAAAGTCCAGTTTATGTTGTTCTTCTTTCAAGGTTTTCTCTTCTTGCGTAGTCAATTCTAAACGATTGATTTCTTGAGACAGTTTTCGAACACATTGGTCTGCTTTGGTTAGCATCGTTTCAGGTGTTGCAGCCCAGTTCTTTACTGCCTCTTCGTCTTTCCCTTGTGTAAACATCGTCTCTTTGATAGTTTCCTTTAATGTGTTGACCATTGTCGATATAGCACTTACAGATAAACGTTGCCTCTCTAACATTTCCTTATCCTGTTTGGTAATGATGTCATCAGATTTACTCATTCGATATTTTAATGTTTTTAATTTACTATCAAGTTCCTCCAAAAGTTTATCCATGTTTGTTGTCATGGTTCACAATAACTTTCTTACATGAAATATTGCTCCAGCTTCGTTTCCAGTTCTCGATTGGTTCTCACGCAGTCGCGCTAAAGAAATGTGCTAAATTTTTTTTTTTTTTGTATCCGTACTCATCTCACAATTCAATGTCGTTTATTTTTGTTCCTTTTCTCAAAAATATCGGCTGTAAAACCACACAAGAATAACCAGATCACGAGAAAGTCACAACTTCAAAAAAATGTTAGTTCTTTGCAGTAAAAACTCACGATTATCGTCGTAGAAAAATCACTTCGATTTGTTTTTGCTTCGTTTGAAAAATTCTTAAATCCTTGCTCAAATCAGTTCTCGTATCCTGCCGGGGTCACCACTGTGTTGGAAAACGTAGGATTGATGCCGATACGCCTCCTAAATACATTCACCGTTTATTTTAACAATATATATTTAACCAAAAAACACTCTACACTCTGTGAAGTAACCGTAACCAGAAGTCTCTCACTTTTCTATGCCTGCGAACAGGTGACAATGTCAGTGTCCAAAACAATCACGAACGGCAAGAAACAGAAGGCGTAGAAGGCTTTGAAATTATCAATAACTGCTCCGATGAACCACATGCTGACACACATGGAGCAGGACGTCTACCCGACTATGTTGCTGTTGATATACCATCGATTACTATATGGGGATGCAGAGCGGACGGCTCAAAAATTATGGTCAATTCGTCGACTATAATTGATGCATATGATGAAATTACGCAATGGCGTAAAAATACTTTTCTCGTTCCATATGGTAAAATTGGGCGAGATTTTATAGACCACCTAACACAACATATAAACGAGTGGAATAACGCATCGCAAACACAACACATAGCGTTAAAAGCTGCAATTGTTCTTTTGGCAACGGCACTGCAAAAACCGAGCGTAAAATCGAAAGCAAAAGATCACAAAGAGTGTTTGGAAAAACGACTAGCACTATGGAAAGAAGGAGAAATCGGGAGCTTACTTCGTGAAAGCCGGGCCATTCAAAAGCGTCTAGCAAAGGCTAAGAGGACGAAGCCTCCCAATAAAGCGAAGATATTCGCTAAATTGGTCATGGAAGGTCAGATCAATTCTGCCTTGAGATACCTTAGTGAGGCTGATTGCGATGGAGTGCTGCCTTTGACCAATGACGTGATAAGACAGCTTCACGAGAAACACCCTGAGGCACAAGAGGCCAAACTTGGCTCATTACTTTTCGGGCCATTGGAGGAAGTGCACGATTCGCTATATCAGCGAATCGATGGTGAAATGATACGCGTGTCAGCACTGCGAACCAAGGGATCCGGTGGCCCTTCAGGAGTGGATGCAAATGGATTCAAGCGTATATTCGCATGTAAATCGTTCAAGAAATCAGGCATGAACCTGTGTGAGGCAGTAGCAAAAATGACCCGGCGGTTATGTACAGAATACATTGACCCAAGAACTATGGAGCCTATTTTAGCTAGTAAGCTTATACCTCTTAACAAAGGCGAGGGCGCAGTTCGTCCAATTGGCGTCGGGGAAGTTATCAGGAGGATTGTCGGGAAATGTGTTATGAAGGTGATTAAGTCCGACGTGATTGATGCCAGTGGGTCGTTGCAGGTGTGCGCAGGTATTAAGAGCGGAAGTGAGGCAGCGGTTCATGCGATGCATTCCATATTCGAATCAGATGAGTCAGATGCCGTTCTCCTGATTGATGCCTCAAATGCATTTAATGCGCTCAACCGAGCGGCTGCTCTCCACAACTTATCAGTTCTGTGTCCATCAATGTCAATCTACGCAATTAACACTTATCGCGAATCAGCAAGACTATTCATATCTGGTGGAGGAGAGCTCAAGTCTACTGAGGGTACCACACAAGGGGATCCCCTGGCTATGGGGATGTATGCTATCAGTCTTCAACCCCTGATCACCGATTTGAATGTGTCAAGCAACGTTAAGCAATGTTGGTTTGCCGACGACGCGAGTGGTGCAGGATCTCTCGAAGATATCAAGCGATGGTGGGAACACCTGAATGAAGTTGGCCCTAACTTGGGATACTTTCCAAATGCTAAGAAATGCTGGCTGATCGTAAAGCCTGGAAAAGAAAAAAGTCCTCATGACATTTTTGATGGGACAGCGATCAATATCTCTGTGCAGGGGCAAAAACACTTGGGCGCAGCCCTGGGTTCTAGGGCTTTTCTGGAAGAATACGTCGACGGCAAGGTAGATGACTGGGTTAGTCAAATCGTCAAGCTAGCTGAATTCGCAGCGTCACACCCACAAGCCTGCTATGCCGCCTTCACCTTTGGCCTCCGCCATCGATGGACGTATTTTCTTAGAACACTTCCAGATATAGAAGATTTACTGGAACCTTTAGAGCGGTACAAAGAGTGAAAGAGACCTCCTGGCACTCCCAGTACGAATGGGTGGTCTTGGCCTTATAAATCCTAGACAGGATGCAGCATTGCAGTATGAAACATCGATAAAGACCACAGCGCCACTTGTAGAGAAAATTATCGCACAAGCCTACGAAATTCCAGATGACTCTGTTATTCACACACTGCAGCAGAATGCGCGAACTGAAAAGAACGAAGTACTTCAGGCTAAACGGGATGGTATTAAAAACTCTCTACCTTTGAAAACACAGCGTGCTATGGAACTAGCAACTGAAAAAGGTGCTTCCAACTGGCTAACAGTTATTCCCATTAAGGAAATGGACTACAACTTGAATAAGGGTGAATTTCGAGACGCAGTGAAGCTGAGATACGAGTGGGAAATTTCTGATAGACCATCAATATGCGTATGTGGTGCTACTTTCAATATTAATCACGCAATGATCTGCAAGCGAGGTGGGTTCATCATACAGCGTCACAATGAGCTGCGAGATCTTGAGGCTGATTTGCTTAACATTGTCTGCAATGATGTCGAGGTTGAACCCCTTCTTCAAGAGTTAACCGGTGAGGTGTTACCAAGAGGAGCAAATAAAGCATCCGACACTCACCTAGACATCCACGCACGAGGGTTTTGGGAGAAACAAAGGTCCGCGTTCTTCGACATTAGGGTTTGTCACCCCAACGCGGATTCCTATAAAGAGTTGTGCCCTCAACAGATATACAGGCAACATGAAAACGAGAAGAAGAGGAAATATGCCCAAAGAGTGATGGAGATAGAACATGGAACGTTTA